CAGGATAGGAAGAGTATTGACACCTTTGAACTTGGGTGTTGGAGAAGACTCCTGAGAATACTGGTGACAGCCAAGAAAAAAACCCAATGAATCATCAAACAAATCAATCTGGAGTTCTCACTCAAGGCACAATTGACCAGGATCAAATTATCCTAATTTGCTCACAGTATGTGAAGACCCAGCTCTCTGGAAGAGGCTCTAATGCTGGGAAAGGTGGAAGGAAAGAGAAGAGGATGATCAGCAGCAAGGTGGATGGACTCAGTTACAGTGGCAGTAAGTGCACTGTTGGGAGACTTGAAACAACAGGTTAGGGATAGATTGTCACGGAGAAAATCTATCCATGTGGTTGCTAAGAGCCAAAAACGACCTGATGACATGTAATCAATCAATCAGTCAATCTGTACAGGCTCATGTATACATTCAGGGGATGCCCAGCAGAAGAAGCATACATAACACACATTCAGACATGATAACAACACTCTCGAGTAGTTTCCTGTTCAGGCAGGTTTGCAAATTACTCCTCCATCTGCAACGCAGGGGTAACAGATTATTTTTTGGGATTGTTGTGAAGACTGTAACAAGAAGGCATATACAAAGGACTTTATTCAAGAAGTATGACAATCATAAATTTAGGGAAGGTGGGAAAATATATGGATTTCACCTATAATCTGAGAATTTTCTTTTTAGCCTTGTGTATTGCTTGAACTTGTCAATAATAAAATGTATTTTGCAAAGTACTGAAGCATTCAAAGGCCAATGAAATTAACATTCACTGTACAGATGCAATATGGTTTTGCTACTGCTCTGAACTGTAGAGCATTTTTTATTCAGCAAACCTTGTTTTCTCAAACTTTGACATATGACACACTGAATACAAACATTCTCTGTGGGCTTCAGATAAGTCAAGCTCCTTCTAAGAACTTGCTTGTTCTGTCATTGTTCCTGTGGCTTTCAATATTTCAAATGGCAATTTGAACGAAAGGCTGATGAGAATAACCCAAAGCTGTCTCCCCAGTTGACCCCAACCGTCCACAGGCCTGGATGGAACGAAGACCCTTGAGATCAGTGAGAACACTTTCCAGGTAATCAGGGGAAAAAACAGATAAAAGCAAGCTATTTGGAGGGTTGGAAAAAACATGGTACTTATTCTTCCTATTAAATTCAGCTGCATGCTACATTGGGGTCAACGAACATAATCTTCTGTAAGAGAGAAAATCAAGCCCAACCATGCAGGGCTCAGCCCAGATTAAGCTTCTGTTTCCATTTCTTGAGAATAAGAAATTACCATTTTTATTAGATTCCAAAAGTTAACTGGGTTTTTTTCTGTAAGCTTCACCAATTTGGAAGTATACATCTGAATTTTAGCCCAAACCTGATTAATGCGCTTTCTAAAATTTAGTTTTAGATAACATTAGTACAAAGATGTAAAAATTTGATTTAAAAAAATAGCATATGTCTTTTGAATTAACCTGACTGTACTGTCTAGGCAGTCTCTCTTTCTTTATTTTAAAAAAGCTGGCTGTTAAAACTGGATTCCATGTTCCGTAATGCTAAATGGACGTTTTACAATGTGATTGTTTTGAATGTGACAAGCAGTCACTGAAAACGCTTTGGTGCCATCTGGATGGGATTGCTTGGAGAAAAAGATCCGGTGGGTGATGAGCTGTTGCCATGATTTACAAAGAAAAGGGCGGTAGTCTGGATCTGCATCACGGTCAGATTTTTCTGAGCTCTCCACAAAGCTCAGTGATTTCTGCATAAGTGACTGTGTTGTGGCAAACAAAACTAAGCGATGCTCCTTTACAAGCTTTTTGAGAAACTGCACACATCTTTTTAGGTTGGCTTCCTGCAGACTCAGGCTTTCTCCTCCACTGGCCCGATCTATCCAATAAAAGGCCGACATACTGTCTATAATCAAGAGGGAAAGGGAAGGGTGGGAGTAAAACATGTTTTCCAGAGAGTAAAGGGTAAGCAGTAGCTGAGAGCTGCTATGGCAGTTAATAAGAAAAAACCTCTCCAAATACAGCTTAATGGTGGCTTCGGTGCCTTGAGACAACAGTCTGTATTCCAAGATAGTCACTAAACGCAGCATGTCAAAATGGAAGTCCGTATCAATAAAAAGCACGCCAACTTCCAAACCACCAACTGATTTTGGAAGAATGCAACGAGCAATCAGGTGATAGAGCATTTCTGTTTTTCCTGTTCCTTCTGGACCATGAAATTCAACAACATCTCCTGTGGAGCAGTGAAGGGAAATGTTTAAAGGGACCTGCTACTCAGAAGACAGAATCACCTACCCTGGAGCTTTAACACATACAATACATCTTTCCTTTTCCAAATTATTTTTTCCCTTTGAACTCTGAGACATCTCCACAGCCCCATATTCTAATCCAAAGTAAAAACATATGGAATCTTCTGATTATTAACAGCTCCAATCCAGCACAATTAGTTAATATTTCCTGGGTTTTATATGAATTAATCAGGAATAAATAGAGATAAAACTCCAGGGCAAAAAAGGAGGGGTGAACTAACACATTTGCATTTTCCAGAGCAAAGAGTTTCCCAAACCTTTATCCAGCCTCCAGTTGTTACATGTAGCTTAAAACAAAAATTCTTATTAAAACAACAACAGCAAGATAAATTGGGCATTTTAAAACTTACTGGAAACTACTAACTTACATACCAGAACACAGTAAAACAGATTAATGAAGATTCTACAACAGAATAGAGTTTCTTCAAATTTCCAAAATGTGTTAATCTTTACTGCTGGAGGTTGTGTTTTGGGGAAGAGAGGAGATTGGTAATATTTAAAATAGTATAAATTGACAGAAGTTGCAAAGTAGCACATTTCCCAGGTAAAATATATAAGAAGATTTTTGTTAAACCGTAAATGGGATATCCTTCCTCAGCAAACAGGCAAGGTTCAAGAGTTTTCAGAGAACTTCGGCCTTCAAGTCGTGCAATCAGCTTTGAGAAAAAAAAATGTAGGCAAGAGATTAGATACAATTAATAAGTCAATGCACTAATTTTGTAGACTTTTGTATAAAGGTCATGTGAACTCAGTGACTTCTCAGTAGCTTCATCTGTGGCCTGTATCAATTATATATGTATACAATTCACTAGAATTCTAGACAAGCTTCAACGACCAAAGAAATATCTGTTCACAGAAAAGTATGCTTGTTATAATCCGAGTTCAATGCTTCCTAACAAATTATATAAAACTTAGCTTGTTTCTTTCTTTTACTACACTTGCCCAAAGCAGATTACAAGAGTTACTACTACAATGTACAACCCAGCAATAAAAAATGAATGGTTTTGAAACCAGCATCATTATATTGTATTGATTTATGACAGATCAAGTATAAATGCCAGAAGAATAGTGATCTTAAGCCAGACACAAAATTTAGCCAGAATCGCAGCTTCCTTTTGTGAAGACCTTGCATGACTTCCTAATTTTGGGGTGTAAATGCTGAAATTAGGTTTCCTAGGAAGCCCTGAGGCCACAAAGAAAGGCCGTCTGCATTTCTCCTTTCATCCAGCTTCCTGGTTATATAGGACTCCAGTATGTATTTTCCTAATCTTGGAAGATAAAACAGCTCCTAAATTGGAGTATGTTTCCAAAGGTAAATTAGGGCCCAGATTATTTAGGCAAAAGGACTATGAACTGGGCCTGGATACTATCAGATTGCCAATGCATGTGTTCTTTTCTCCTTATTCTTGAGGTTGATTGCAACCTTCAGTGTCAGCTTTAGTTTCCCTGCAATTTTCAAGCGAAATCCCATATCTCCCCGTCAGAGCAGCCGACTCCCAAATTGCAAAGGGATGCACAATGGCTGCTAATTTCCCTTGGACCAGAAGACAGCACAATCTGCAGATTACGCAAAACTTCTAAAATAGTGGATCCATCCACTTCAGCTGCACTTCTAAACCACAAATCTGATTCAAGGGCAGGGGCTCTCCTGGGTGACTTTGTTTTTCCCAGAGATGCAGGCATTTAAAATAACTTCCTTCCAACTTGTCTGCATCTCGGTATGGCTTATTCACTTTCATTCACAGCCAAACTGACTTAAGAGAAAAGCATTTCAGGATTTTCAGCCTCCGACCTAATCCAGTGGTCTTTCAGGGTCTTCAGATACGTATTAAGGCAAAAGATGTAGACAAGACTGACTCTGAATAGCAGAATCCATGGCCTACTTTCTTGTTTCATGGACATATTTGTTTTTTGTTTCTAACTTACTCTCTGAGGATGAAGTCCTGGAGAACTCAAATGCTTGAAAACTCTTTGGGGGTGATGCTAATCAAAGCAATTGTCGAACTATGGAACTTGTCTTCCCTACAAATCAATGTAGCTACAATTGCTGTTTAAGATGAGACTGCACCATCTTCTGTCAGTCATCAGACACAAATTATTGCAACCCCAAGCCCAAATGGTAGCTTGTTGGGTGTGATAACCAGCCCTCTGACTCTTTCTGGAAGCTGCTGATTTGAAAAATACCCAACGGTTCCAAACACAGGCAATATCTGGGGCATTTGGCAGCAAGCACAGTCACGTACGCAGCCAAAGGTCAAATGATTTTCTTCTTTATGTGCCTATTTTTCTAACGCCACAGCTTTGCAGACAGAATGGCCCATTTATTTTGGACCGAAAACTTCATGACATTTAACAAGAAACACCTGGAAAGCACAGTCAGGGAGCCTAATGCACTATGGATTTTTGTGTAAGATGGACAAGTCTCTCAATTTAATGGGAAGCTTTGTTTTAATACAGTGGGGCAAAAAAGTATTTAGTCAGCCACCAATTGTGCAAGTTCTCCCACTTAAAAAGATGAGAGAGGCC